ACACGCACACACGTATGCATGTGTGTATATGTATATCTACATACGTACATATATACACACGCACACACGTATGCATGTATGTATATGTATATCTACATACATACATATATACACACACACACGATGACATACGTAAGTCATAAGAAAGAATGAAATCGTGTCTTTTGCAGCAACTTGGATGGAAATAGAGACATCTTAAGTGTAGTAATTCAGCAACAGAAAAATAAATGTCGCATGTTCTCACTTATAAGTGGGAGCCAGACTATGGCTACACAAAGGCACACAGAGGGGTGTAATGGTCATTGCAGACTCACAAGGAGGGAGACACAGAAGGGGTGATGGATGAAAGACTACCTATGTGTACAATGTACACTCCTCAGGCAATGGCTACACCACAAGCCCAGACTCTTCAAGGGAGGCATATAACAGACTCCAACCTGCACCCCCTAAATCTATTGAAATTTCTTAAAAGGGAGGGGGAAAACAAATACGTGAAGTCAACCAGGGAGCCACCCACTCTGTCATGAGAAGGAAGGGTGGCCGGTGCTTCATCATTCACAGAAGTTGTTTGGCAGTTTTTGTTCTCTATTTTTATTGACACTTTCAGGTCAATTAGGGGAACTATTACCAGACAAAAGCAGTCTGGCTGCCACTGTCAGCCAAATGCAGAGATGGGAGTAGGTCCACCAAGCTTTATAATCAGAAAGCCAGTGACTCTGGCGAACAGTGAGAGTAGCCTCTCCAAGACTGTTCTGTTCTTCCATTCCCAAAACCAGTTTTATCCATACACATTCAAAGCAAACACCATATTAACCCTTATCTTAAACAGTAATAAACAATAATCAGTATAACCTACGACCTATTTCAACATTTCCAATTGACAAGTTGGATTGATTCTCCTAAATCAATCGCCCTAAACTATTCAAGGTAACATTTTTTAGGTTAAAGTCAAATTTACAAAAGAATAAAGATGGAGATACAGGGTGAAGGTTACATAAGACCTAAACCGACCAGACCAGCGGTTGGCCCAGCCTGATGGACTCCATCTTATTCTCACTACATGGTCTCTCACAGGTTCGACTAAGTTCAACTCAGTCAAGGAGGGCACAGTAATGCAGTGGTTCTCAACCTGTGGGTCACGACCCCTTTGGGGGTCCCCTGCATATCAGAAATTTACATTACTATTCATAACAGTAGCAAAACTACAGTTATGAAGTAGCAATGAAAATAATTTTATGGTTGGGGGTCACCACAACATGAGGAACTGTGTTCAAGGGTCATGGCATTAGGAAGGTTGAGACTCATTGAGAGTAAAGCAAATTTGCGAGTGTCGTGCTTTGCACGTCCCAAGGAGCCTCCATAGTCATTCTAAAGGAGCCCAAGTCGTACCCCTGTCCATGTCTCAGTCCAAAGTGACAAAGATTGAAAATACAAAATAAATCCTCAGCTTCCACGTGAATGTTCACAGCAGGTCACACATCATAGCCTAAATGTGAGACCAACCCAAACATCCGTCAAGTGATGAATGGATAAACAAAATGTGGCCTATGCGTGTAATAGAACATCATCCAGCCATAAGAGGAAGCCCTGATTCACACTACGACATGCATGAAGCTCGAGAACATGATGCTAAGGAAAAGTAGCCAGTCACAAAGGGCCACATTGCCTGTGATTCCACCTACATGACGTGTAGCCCAGTGGCCACGCAGGGGTGTGGATGCCGTAGGGAATGGAGGCCCTGCAGGCACAGAGCATAGAGGTTCCTTTGGGGGTGATGAAATGTTCTAAAATGGATTATGGCGGTGCTAGCACCACATAAAAAACACTTTATTGTATATTTTAAGTAGGTGAATTGGATGATCTATGAATTATATCTCAGTAAAATTGTTATTTAAAAAAATGAAATAATACCTCAGCCAAAATCACAGTAAATGCTCCTTGGCTGTGCATGACAAAGGCTCCCCTCAGAAACATGTCTTGGGTATTGGGTCACCCGCTTCATGAATCAGCAGTCACTGCCAAGAGCAGACCCCTAGGCCTTCTGCAGGCTATGGAAGCAGCACAGCTCCACACAGTGCCGAGTCCATCAGCATCAAGTGGTTTGGAGAGCAGGGCACTGCAGGTCTGAAAAGGCCTGTGGAACATCAGTTGTACACACCAGGGGATGTATATACAGAAAGACTAACCTACATAAAATCATCCTAGGAAGGAACTGGGTTGTCAGGGCCAGAGACTCTGTCTTATAAAAAAATTAAGAATTAGCCAGACATGGTGGTGTGTACCTGTAATCCCAGCTATTCCAAAAGGCTAAGGTGAGAGGATCAGTTCAGCCTAGGAGTTTGAGGCTGCAGTGAGCTACGACTGCACCATTGTACCCCAGCCTGGATGACACAGCAAGACTCTGTCTCTAAAAAAATGCTAAAAAGGCTGGGCACAGTGGCTCATGCCTGTAATCCTAGCATTCTGGGAGACTGAGGCAGGTGGATTCCTTGAGCTTAGGAGTTTAAGACCAGCCTGAGCAACAGCAAGACCCCCGCCTCTGGCTCGACGCCTATAGCTCAACCGGCTAAGGCGCCAGCCACGTACACCTAAGGTGGCGGGTTTGAATCCCCAGCCCGGACCCGCCAAACAAC